TCATTAGAGGGACGAGTGTGAGGAGTGAGAGCGGTGGTACGATCAATAGTAGAAACTTTACGAATGGCGTGATCAATAACACGAGCAGGATAATTACGCTTGAGGAAGAAGGAACGCATCTCAGAACATTTAACAGAAAAATCAAGATCATCACTACACAAACGAYGAAGACGAAGAAATTGCGAGAACGGAATAGCGTTAAGRGTGTGCTTAGGATGAGAAGACGAGTAGAGTAAATAAGAATGAGAGTCAGTAGGTTTGTAGTAGACACTAGTGCTAAGACGGTCGTCATTAACACTAAGCAAGATGTCAAGGAAAGTGACTGATGTTTCACTAACCTCCCACGTAAAGTCTAAGGCAGGGTGAAAAGAGTTAACAAAAGAGATGAAAGCATCTAAGTCATTACGTGAACAAGAAGTAGCACCAATACAATCATCAATATACCGTCCAAAAAACTCAGGTTTAGGCCCAGTATATTGTTGAAAAACAAGGTTTTCGATATAWCCAACAAACAAATTGGCATAACTAGGGCCCATCTTAGTACCCATAGCAACACCGTTAACTTGCCGATAATACCGATCACCGAAGGAAAAACAATTAAGAGTAAGAACAAGTTCAGCTAAGCGTAACAAAGACTCTTTTTGACTCGTTTTTAACCTTACCTAACCTTAGCTACTTTAAATTATCACTGAAAAAATGTTGAGGCCCTGTGATTAAATTTAAGGCAGTATCATCAGAAGCGCGAAGCACACCCTGAAAAATACTACAATCTTCTGGCACTCTAATTTCGCTGCAGCGCCTGATATAGAAAAAAAAGGTAAAAAAAGCTATGTAAGTAAATTATGGAAATTATGTTGAGTGAAACAGGTCTGCTTAAAAAAGAAATGTATAATTTGATTTCTATTATTATATGAAGAGAGCATACTTACTGTTGGGTTTTGTAGTGACCGTCGTTGGTCCTGTAATGAAGATTACAAGTTTGTTAGTCAGCTTTGTCTCTGGTTATAACACTTATTTATCGGTGCAGAAAGCAGCACGACACGACACAGTCTGTTATTATAAGTGAATAGTATACTTACTGTTGGTTTTTGAGGTGACCGTCGTTGATTTTTGTGTGTTTACCGTCACTTGCCCTGATAATAAGATATTAAGTTAGTTATTCAACTTAGCCTCTCATTATAAGCAGCACAGCACAGCACAGCACAGCACAGCACAGCACAGCACAGCACAGCACA